TCTATATTCCTTTATTCAACAGTCCTGTAAATTTTAAAAGACTAAAAAAAATGTCCCAAGCTCATTAACGCACAAGCAGGAGCATTTGCCAGCAGCCGTTCTCCCTTCAGTGAAACTTTAAAATAAGTAAAAGTGACCAGAAGCACCAGAAAGGGCAAGATCAGTACATGCATTTTGAGAGTGACCCTCCAAGGCATAAGCAGTCATCCAGAGCAGTCCGTCTCATTTAGTAACAGCTACAAAGAGGACACTAAGTAGATTCTGACTCACCATCAAGCTTTTTGAGCTCCTCTTCCTGCGAGTGACCTGGGGCTTGGAAAGAAGGCTCGAAGACACCAGCACGCCGCCTCCGGCCTTTATCCTCGGACTGGTGAAGTTCAGAATCCTCCCCTCCTGGAATAAAAGGGAAAGCAAGTGTGGATGTGGGTGTTTGTGGATGTGTCTGACTTTGTTAATCAACACAAGAAAAGAGCACAGAATTCACAGCAGATCGGGCACAGCTATAGCCAGCTCTAGGCTTAACCAAAATATCAGAAACTTACCAGGGTTTCCATTTAAAAAGAGTCTGCCCCAACTCAGACATCCTTTTCCCATTCCCCAAAAATATCCTGGATCTTCCTTGGGTCTCTTCTCTCCATTAAAAACATGGTGACTTTTGAATGCTAAGGGAAAATCTCCATCTCCCTCTAGGTGCCTGTGGGGCATTCAACTCCAGGACTCCAGGAGTCAGAAAAGAAAGGCACCTTGGGAACCAGCTCCCTCGTTTTACAAATGAGGAATCAAAGAATTCCAGAGAGGGGCACCAACTTGCTCACGGTCACACATCTTTTATTCCTGATGGGGTCAAGTCTAGAACCAGCACCCAGCAGCCAGTTCTGTCTACTTCCCCAGCACCCACCCCAGTCCTCTCATATGCAGTACTATGGGAGGTAGGGCTTCCTTCCTCCCTCCTTCCTGCCTTCCCATTTCTCCTTGGTTCATGTTCCTTGAACTAGAGTACGTAACAGTAACAGCTATTGTGTATGGAGCACTTTCCATGTGCCAGCTCTGGGCCATAGCCGCCCCATGAGACAGCAACTGTTATTAGCTCCACTTTATTGACGAGAAAAAATTGAGGCTCAGAGAGGAAAGTTGCCAGCCCCAGGTCACACAGCTGGTGTGGAACTTGGGTTTGACCTCAAGCTCACAGCCACAGTGCCATTCTGCCTCAAAAAATTTCACAGTGCTGTTTGTCCTTGATAGTTGTCCCACCTGCAACATACCTCTGTTGGGAGGTTGGAGGAGCCAGCTTAGAGGGCCCTAACCCTTGGGGGTGGGGCAATGGGGTTGCTATAGAAACAGGCATGGTCTGCTCACCCCTGTGTGCTGGGCTTAGATCAGTCTCTTCAGAATGTGAGGCAGCAGCCATGTCGGGCAGTGTCGCCTCCTGGCCTTCAGCTTCCTGATCTTGGTCCTCTTTTGTTTCCTCATCAGCATGTTTCTTGTGACTATGTTTCTTGCGGCTGGCCCTCTTGTCATGGGCTTTCTTCCTGGGAGCTGGCTCCCTTGGTGCCTCAGAGGTTTCTGTGGGCTGGAGGAGGCCCTCCCTCCCCTTTGCCCTCTTGCCAGCCTTTTCTTTGGTCTCCTCGGTGCCTATCCTCAGGAAGTTTAGTAATACCTTCAGCCACCCTGGCTGGGCCCACCTCTGGGCCTTGTCCTTTTTGGTGTCCTGTGGAGGCCTCTGCTCACTGGGGAGACACTCCCTGGTCTTCTCCAGGCTGAGGGCTGAGCCCATGGTGCCCTGAACCTCCGAAGACTGTTCTGAGCTCTCAAGAGGTCTGCTCCCATCGCTGGCCCTCCGCGGGAGCACCCGCCTGGAGGGGGTGGTGGGCAAGGAAAGGCACCGGCAGTCCCATGACTCTGAGTTCTTCTTGGGGTTCTGCGCCCTGTCCAGAGACCTGGTTCTCCTCTGTGACAGAGGCTTCCTCGGGCCTTGTGGATGCTCCATTGAGCTACAACAAAAACAAACAGCTCCCTTAGAAGAAGCCCACCAGAGACTTCCCAAGTGGGCCAACGATGCTGACCTGTACGCCCATCCACCCTACCCACTAATGTGAGTAACTTTAGCTCTCAAAGCTGTTGTCCCACTTAAATTTCTCAACAACCCTGGGAGGGAGGGGTATCCTTGTCTCCGTTTTCCAGAGGAAGAAACAGGCATGGAGGTCAGGGCCCAGATCTCGCAGCTGGTCCATAGTGCCTCCAGAGCCTCCAGAAGGAGCCCAGACCTGCCAACATCTTGATGTTAGTCCATTGAGACTGATTTTGGACTTCTGACCTCCAGAACTGTAAGACAGTCAATTTGTGTTGTTCCAAGCCCTGCTCCTTACTAGCCTCAGGACTTGGGGCAGCTCATGCACCTTTTCTGGCCCAATATTCTCATCTGAAATGTGCCTGAGACCTGTCTATCTATCTCAGAGGCTGTTAAGAATATTTCACAAGACAGCTCAGTAAATGGCAACTCTTTTCTTCCAATTGCTCAAGACAAAAATTCGAAGTCATCCCTGACTCCTTTCTTTCTCTCAGTCTCCACATCTGGTCCATCAGCAAAGCCCGTTGGCTCCATTTTCAACCACATCCTGACCTCAACCATGTCTCTCCACCTCCTTCACCACCACCTGGGTCTAGGTCCCATCTCCGCTCACCTGGACTTGGTACCTCCGAACTGGTCTCTCTGCTCTACTCTTGTTCTCCTTACAACAATGTCTCCCAGCAGCCACGGGGCTTTTCTAACATAAGTTAGAGCAGGCCACTCTCCCAACTCTAATGGCTGCCCTTACACTTACAGTCAAAGTCAAAGTCCTTACAATGGGTGGCAAGGCCCCACACACCCTGGCCCCGCTTACCTCTCCGATAACCTTTCACTCACTCCACTCTACTCCACTCACGTAGCCCTGCTCACTGTCCCTCAGACATGCTCTGCCTCAGGACCTTC